AGAGTAGGACTCACTGCAGTGGGCCCCCCCCTCCAATGGCTCGAGGACGGATGATGGCTTCCCTGTTCCCCCACATAATTCCTCCCGCACAGCAATGCCTTTCTCCCTCAGCACTCAGTCTGCAGATGGAAAGACCACCTAAGGGACACAGGCAGGGTTGTAGCAGCAATGTTTTAATGAGTCTAAAGCGCGAAAGGAAGTGACTGCAAGTGGAGGCCCCCAGCGCAGGGAGGAGCAGGAGCAGCCCAGAATCTGTTCCCCTCTTCCTGTGGCTGAGTTCATAAAATCATAGAATCACAGAATCGTTTAGGGTGGAAAAGACCCTTAAGATCATCACGTCCAACCGTTAACCTAGCACTGCCATCCCACCACTTAGCCCTGTCCCTAAGCACCTTGTCTGACCGGCTTTTAAAAAACCAATAGGGATGGGGACTTGACCAACTCCCTGGGCAGCCCATTCCACAGCATGACAACGCTTTCTGTGAAGAAATTTTTCCTAATGTCCAACCTAAACCTTCCCCGGGGCAACTTCAGACCATTGCCCCTCGTCCTGTCATCCTTTACCAGGGAGAAGAGGCTGACCCCCACCTCCCTACAGCCTCCTTTCAGGCAGTTGTAGAGGGCAATAAGGTCTCCCCTCAGCCTCCTCTTCTCCAGACTAAACAACCCCAGTTCCCTCAGCTGCTCCTTGTAAGACTGGTGCTCCAGACCCCTCACCAGCTTTGTTGCCCTTCTCTGGACATGTTCCAGTTACGCAACATCTTTCTTGTAGTGAGGGGCCCAAAACTGAACACAGTATTTGAGGTGCGGCCTCACCCGTGCCGAGTACGGGGCATGATCATGTCCTGCTCCTGCTGACCACACTATTCCTGATAGCCATATAAAAGAAGAATGAAGTTTGCAGAAGGGTATTTGGGGCTGGAAGGTGGAAAAAGCATGTGATCTGAGGGCAGAAAACTTGGGTATCAGAAAAGGAACATGCATTGCCTCTCAGCCTTTTTATCCCATGGCTTACAGAGGCCAAGTTATTGACCTAATTATGTTTCTTTGGAATGTTTTTTGTTCTGAGTATCAGTAGTCCTACTATAAGGAAATTGATTATAAACAGCCATAGATGGAGCAATACTACAGATTGTGAGTAGTCTGGGCCTCCTAGCGTAGAGTTAGTATCAGAAGCAACTGCTGGGACTCTGGGCAAGAATCAGGAAAATCTAGCTATTTTACATTCTACCCAAGACTTAAAGAAGGAGATGTCTTTTTTAATCTAGGCTGAATCAGTATGTTCTTCGTAAATCCAAGACCTAGTTGTAGCTATGGGCGAAGGCTTTGCTGAAGGCCGGGTAGAGAACATCCACAGCCTTTCCCTCGTCTACCAGGCAGGTCTGCTGGTCATACAAGGAAATCAGGTTGGTCAGGCAAGACCTGCCTTTCATGAACCCATGCTGGCTGGGCCTGATTCCCTGATTGTCCTCCATAGGCCTGGTGAGCACACTCAAGATGAACTGCTCCATAATCTTCCCTGGTACCGAGCTCAGCCTGACAGGTCTGTAGTTTTCTGGATCCTCCTTCTAGCCCTCTTGAAGATAGGGGTCACATTTGCCAACCGCCAGTCATCTGGGACTTCCCCTGATATCCAGGACTGCTGATCAATGATGGAGAGTGGCTTTTTTTTTTTTTTTTTTTTTTTCTTTTTTTCTTTTTTTCTTTT